CAGAGATCCGCCTGCTTCTGCCTCCCGAGAGCTGGGATTAAAGGCATGCGCCATCACCATCTGGTTGTTTGAGAGATTTTTGTTTTGCTTTGCTTTGGGTTTTGAAATGTGAGGCAAGGTATCATTGTGTAGCCCTGGCTAGCCTGGAACTTACAACATAGACCAGCATGACTCAAACCTTGGAGCAGTGGAGTGCTGGAATTGTAGGCCTGCACCATCAGACCCTGCTCATGCCTTTATTTCTGTTATTTGATTTTGAGGCCGGGTCTCACTATGTAGTCCTGGCTGGCTTGGAACTCTGTATGCAACCTCCTAACCACCATGAATCAACCAGGGGCACAGGAACACTGGCATATTTGGTAGGAACAATAACTTCTGTGCCCTTTCCTGCTTGATGATAAGAATGATGGTAGTTAATCAGGGTAGTTGAGAACCAGTACAGGTGTTGTTAGAATATTTCTTACTCTTTATTGTTTGACTTATCTCCTTTGGGATGAAGGTACTGAATCCAAGTTTACCTGCCCAAGCTGTCTTCAAACTCATGGCATCTTCCTCCCTCGGGTTCCCAAATGCCAGTTCTATAGTACCGCCACACGTACCTTGGTTGGCTTAAGTCTGAATGGACAAGTGAGGGCTTGGTGAAGGACAGGATAAAGTTATACCAGACTGCAACAAAACTATGGAAGTGGTGTGTTGTTCCCGCAATGGTTCAAGTTGTCCCGTGCAAAGCACTGGGTCACCTCATTTGGTACTTAGTTGGAGAGGGGAGGTGAGGGCCAGTATGTTGTCACCCAGCTAGGAAGGAATAGAACTCATTTGTGAGAATCTGGAGCTCACCTCTATTCACCTTTGGCACCTGTGGCAGTTCCTCCATGGGCCAGCTTCTGAGGCTGTCTGCTGCCTGGCTTCCAGGTCACCTCTCAGGTTCCTTATGGCTTAACTAAAGAAAGAGTACCATTTTGCCCTCAGTGATACCTGGAGAGATAGAGTTCTGAATTTCAGTGGCTACTGTGACCTCCCAGTGACAATGGCCTGTCAGTCAGGAAAGCCCCTGCCAGGCTCAGCATGTTTTCCCTATGTCATTGGCTCTGGATGGTCTTTCTGAGATCTTTGTTTTTAATCATAATATTTCACATTTTCCTTTCCATGCTGATCACCAGGAGCCAGCTGCTGGCGGGAGAAAGTCTTCCTTTAATTTCCTCTGGATTATTAGTTCACTTAAAATGCTGTTTAAATTGTACACAAGCATTGAGGCTTTTGATTATTGTTGTGAATCAACTGGACTTCGAAAAAAGTGCTCAACAAGTTGGACTCTTGTATTCCTGTACACTGTGGCATGGTTTGCAGGGACCAAAGTTCACAAATTAAAATGTGCCAAGTTCTGTAGCCCTGTATACCTAATTTCTCTTTAGAAAAACCATACATTTTCTTTATTGAGAATTAAATCTCGCAATTTAAAACATTTTAAAATGGTGTGATGGCTATTCTCGATTGTCAGCTTGACTACATTTGGAATTAACTAAAACCCAAGTGACTAGGTATGCCTGTTAGGGATTTCTCTTTTACTTTTTTGGTTTTCCCAGACAGGATGTCTCTGTTGTCTTGGGTATTCTAGAATTCCCTTTCCTCTGTAGACCAGGCGGACCTTGTACTCACAGTTTTACATCCACACACACATGCTCTACCCCTCTCAGTGCTGGGATCACAGGCATGTACCACCACCACTCAGAGAGGGACTTTTTTCTTAATTCATTCTAAGTAGGATTTTAATTTGGATCTTTCAGGTAGGGAGATTCACCTCTAATCTGGGCCACTCCTTCTGCCGGAAGTCTATATAAGGACAGAAGTCCACTGGCGCTCAACTCTTTCAGGATTCAGGCATATGCAGGTAGACAGCCATTAGACTAGCTGGACCATAGCCTGTACCACTGCCTGGACCAGTGTAATTGTGTGTGTGTGTGTGTGTGTGTGTGTGTGTGTGTGTGTGTGTGTGTGTGTGTTTTAAAGGCCTGGTGTTCATGTCTTATTTTCCTATTTGGCCTGTGTTCTTATGAGATACAGAATGCCTCTTGCCACTGCTTCACAATTCTTTATTCCAGATTTCTTTTTTAAAGAGAATGTGTGTGTGCACTCGGTGCATGTGGGTGCAGGTGCAGCACTAGGCTAGAGTTACAGGCTGCTGTGAGCGTCCGATGTGGATGCTGGGAACCAACTCTGTCAGAGCAGTGTGAGCGCTTACCACTGTGCCATCCCTCCAACCCTCTTGTTCACTGTCATTCTTGCCCCACTTTGTTCTAGGTCTTTTGCTTGTTGAATATGGTAATGTTTCTAATTAATACATTCTATCTGCCTTATGCCCCCCCTCCAGGATGTCCCTTCTCTAGGATGCTTGTGAAATTACTCACGAGCAATAATGCAAGGCATGGTAGTTGTACATCTTTAGTCCCAGTGCTCTGGAGGCAGAGAGTTTTGGATCTCTGAGTTCAAGACCAGTCTGGTTTACATATCTCAGGACAGCCAGAGTCACATAATGAGACTGACTCAAAATATTCCCCATTGCCAGGTGGTGGCACACAGCTTTAATCTCAACAGAGGCTGGCGGATCTCAACGAGTTCATCCCTGTGAGTTTGAGGCCAGCCTGGTCTACAGAGTGAGTTCTATGAATGCCAGGGATGTTATGTTACACAGAGAAACCCTGTCTTGAAACAAGCAAAAAATACCCCTCACCAAAAGAACAATGATTCTGCTATATATAAGGCAAATGTCCATGGTCTAGTCTTTTCAGGGCTTTCCAGCACCATGCAGCCTGGGCCAATACTTTTTTATGGTGGTTCACCATTGTATGGGTCCATGTTTGTGACCTACTCAGCATTTTTTTTTGAGACAGTAGTTATGGAGCCAGTCCTAGAACTGACTCTGTAGACCAGGCTGACCTTCAACTCACAGATCCATCTGCCTCTGCCTGCTGAGTGTTGGGATTAAAGGCCTCGCCTCCACCACCTGTCCATACTCAACGTTTAATACATGCTGCAAGTTTTTTGGATTCAGGGCATAACCAAGAGCCTCTGTGTACTTTTTTTTAGGCTTCCTACAGAGAAGTGAGAAAAGAAATAATTCTACTCCAGGGAAATGCATAACTGAGAAGCTGCCTGTGTGCATAAGAAATCACTCTGTGGCCTCTGTTAAGCAGAGAAGCTGCCAGGGCCATTGTTTTCCTTTTTCCCTGGTGTTTGTGTAAGACCCAGGGTTCGTGCTGCTCATCCTGGTCCCTGAGCAGTCAAGGCTGTGGACTTGAAACATTTGGCTTAGGCAGCTGGGCATGGAGCTGCACGCTTCAGCTCTAGCAAACTGAGGCAAGAGGTTCCAGGCCTGCCTAAGCAATGAAAAACAAAAACAACCCAGACCAAACAAAAAGAACCCCTTGGCCCCAACCTTCTAATAAGACAGAAGCACTCAAGCATGGACTGGGTACTGCCTCCTGTTCTCTTCCTCTTCTGGAATTCTGTCCTTGCTAACAGTAGAACAAGAATATTGGAAATACTGAGGGTATGTCAGGAAACCCAACAGAAGGGCAGGGAAATAGTAACTCAGCCCTGTCAGCTTTAGTCCCGGAAGGCTGGTTTGGGATCCAGGCACCTGTATCTGATGTGGCTAAGCCTGAGGCATTGTCTAGGGTATCCTTTCCCACCTCTGTCTACTGCCAATATTCCTGTGTTGTCCATGTAACCAGTCCTTCATCTTGAACTTGTGGGAGAGTGAGCAGGGAAGACATCATCATGCCCTGGCCCTTGTGGCTTTGAATCTGAATCCCTTCAGAAATCTGACAGATCACACACGAGAGCGCGCACGGAGCTCCCATGGCTCAAGGATGCTGTGAAGAGGATTGTTCACACGGTTGGATAAAGGGTAGTGGCCACTCCATTGTAGTGCCCGTCAGTGGTGGTTTCCAATCAGAAAGGTGTAGAGCCCACATGTGATGGCTGTGATGGGGGGGGCAGCCTCCCATGGGAGACTTGGCTCTATTAGTGGATTTAGAGGAAAAGAACTGGTTTTCTCCCAAGTCCAGATGGATCCCAGACAGTCCAGCAAGGGAAAGCCTATTTTATTTGTCTCCTTCCTCCATTTCTCTAAATAATTTAATCTTCAAAGCATGATACAGGTTAATTAACACTCATGGGTCTCCTGGGAAAGTAGGCAAATGGGAATGCCTCCCCTGTTAGTTGAAGTTCAGGGAATAGACCGGTGCCAGAGCTGTAGGTGAGCAAAACTTCATTCATGTGGTTCCAGTGGGAACCTGTTCCTTTCCCCATTCTTAGTGTCCCGGGTTCCCAGGACAATGAGAAGGCTAAGACTAGGAGTCTTCTGCAGGAAGTAGTGGGAAATGTGAGAATTGAGAAGAAATTGTGACATTCATGGTCATGCGTTTTCAGATGTTATGCCATTAATTTTAGTTCATTTACTTGCCTTTTAAAATACACTTAAATACATACACTGGGCATCCTGTCAGAGTAAGGAGTTGCAAGCTGGCTACCACCCTTCAGGACATTACTAAATGGGAAGTTAGTCTTTTGTGCCCCACACTTATTCAGCAGAAGCTGTTGTGTGGTTTGCACCCCTGCAGGTGGTGGCTTCAATCATTGGCATGCGCCTGGTATCTGAAAATGGATGAGATACAAACAGGACTGTTAGATGTGGTAAATGGGGGGGGGTTGCTAGGAGGGCCTCCCTGAGGGCTGCAGATAGCCCATCTTCAGTCCTGGTCTGTGTCCAGGGACGGTGGCGATGCCAGTCTGCTAGGCACCTGTGTAACTCTTGGGTTAATAGTGAATCTCCACCTACCTAACAAAGCCAGCAAGGCTGGAGGGGGTGCAGAGTGAGGGAACACAGAAGAAGATCTTCTCTGCGGCCGGTGTCTGCTGCTCCCTCTCTGGGGCGGCACGTGCACTCATCTTGTAGGAAACTTTGCTCCTCCCGCTGATGGTGTTTCCCTTTGCTGCAGGCTGCTGAGACCCGGCTGTAGACCTCTGCTAGAGAGTCCTTACTCTGAAGACATCACCAGTGTGTGGAGCCTGCCGCACACCCACCCCCTGCCAAACCACGGCCTTTACCTGTGTCTTTCGCTGTTTCCCGTGCGACCCATCCTGTGGGAGTGCCTCGTGGGCTGCCCCAGAGTTCACCCCACGCTCCGCTGCACCGATGGTGAAGATGACAAGATCCAAGACTTTTCAGGCATACCTGCCCTCGTGCCACCGGACCTACAGCTGCATTCACTGCAGAGCACACTTGGCCAATCACGATGAACTCATTTCCAAGGTACTGCTCTCACGGAGGCCTTTCTTGCCTCCCAGTAAGGAAGGGGGAGTTTCCTGTTCCTGGGGTCACAGACTTGCATGCTCTCTCATACAGTCTGGGATATTTGCATGTTGTCTTTTATAAGGGCAGGGCTGACCCACAGGCTGTTCACTCAACTGAAAATTAACTCTGATTTGCAGGGACAGAGTAGTTCAGTTTATATTGGAAATGTCAACCCTGTTGGAGACAGCACACAGTTCTGTAGTCTATCGGGTCTCTGCATGTTAGGCAAGAAGTCTTTCACAGAGCCACACTCCCATCCCCATTGTAGCAGCTTCATTAGTTCAGACGGGAGAGCCCCTGGCAAGCCCCAAGGACAGTTGCGAGGCTGTAGCATTATGAAAACTTAGCCTTTGGGGGAGGGAGGAACAAAAGTTGAAAAGCTGAGCCACTGACCCGTAGGGACCTTTATAAATGAAGTGATACAGGGTGACATATGATCATAGCTGAAGAATGAGTCCTCTTCCCAGAGGTGCCTTGACAGCTGCTTCTGAAGCTGGGGCTGGGGGTTACTAATGAATAAGCCCGGTTCTTGATTGTGTAACACAGGAACTGAATACTGTGGGCAGCTTTCTCAGGGGAACTATCTCCCTCCTGGCCCTGGATTCCCAGGGGAGGAGAAACAGGTTTTACTAGGCTAGATGACAAAGAGAAAAAGATCGTGGGAGAATTTCCCCCTTAATAGCATCTTTCCTGAGAAGCTAGCCTCCACACAATTAAGGGCCTAACAGATACTTAATGCAGACCCAGACTAAGGAAAAAAATTAGGGATCCCACACTATTTATAAGAACTGACAAAGGCATTCTTGCTTTCTTCTCCTTGGGTTTGGTAGTCTCAGCCCAAGATGGGTGACAGCTCCGGCCAGCAGTTACAGAACATTCTTCCTCAGCTGGCTGACGTGACTGGCACATGAGGGCTGCCCAAATAACCAAGTCCACAGACATAGATTCGGAGATGCGGCTCTAGAACAGAATCTGTTGTTGTGGGTCTACTTCAGGCTGCTCAGTAACCTACAAGCTCATACCTTGGTCCTCCCAGGCCCTGGCTTCAGCTGTTCCTCTCTCCTCTGCATTCCTGAACTTTGTCATTTACACTTAAGCCAGCCTTTAACTATATCTTGTGGATTTCTAATGAGTTTGGGGGAATCCTTGACTGGAAATTTATTTGGATGTGGGAGGCCATGTCCATGGGAAAACTAGCCAGTCTCCTGGCATGGAATGTGAGCCAAAAACTTGTATTTGAGTTGGCGCTGTCTCCCTTCCACAACCCTTTTCTGTAGACGTTTCCAAAATAAGTCTTTCTATCTAAGAGGCATCTAAGGCACCACTTTACCACAAGAAGTGTTTTACGGTGTAAGAAGTCAAGGCTCCAGTACGCTTGTACTGCTATATACCTGACACTAAAAATGCTATTCCTCTTACCTTACCCTTGTGATTCCTTAAGGTGAGTGATCATTGGTCATGTGCTATACCAGCGGGGAAGCTGTTTTAGTCTGCAGGTGCTCAGTAAGGATGTCTTGGTCTTTTATTGCAGCTGGGACTGAAAAGATGGATAGAAGCTGTAGAGATGGTAATGGCTCTCAGGTTATAGTTGCTGTATTTAGTCAGGAGAACAGGCCTTCTTTGATGGCCCTCCACTTCCTTGCTTTCTTATGGTTAGCCAGGAGACACTAACAGTCTTCCATGGATGTGGAGGTGGGGTCTCTAAAGTCTCTGCCGGGAGCAGCTCCCCCTGGCCACCTCATGAACCCTTCCACGTCCTTCTTTTCTGTCTGACTTAGTCCCCAGATCAGAATTTGACTCATGGCAAAAATCTCAGTAAATGATCAAGTGAACGGATAGATGGAGCCTTGGGAGAAGATGAGGCCCCCCCAAAAAAGCTTGTGGCTTGTGCCCTCCTTTCTGCCCGCCCCTTCTGGGACAGGAAGGCTCACAAGTCCAGGCCAACGTCAGCACAGACTTTAATTTCATTGGCTGCAGCCAGTGCACAGATGGGGTACATTAGAGCTGGATGATTTAAAGAGTCGGGTGAAATGCCTGGCTGGGGGAAGAGTGAGGAAACTGCTGGGCATTGTACAAAGATTCCTTTATTTTCCTCGGCAGCCACCCCCAACATTAAATAATCTATACATTCTTATGCACATCTGCTTAATGGAAAGATCATTGCCTCGGCCCCCTCCTTGGACAAATGGACCTTTTCTTTCCACACCCCCTCCCCATTCAGGAAAGTTCAAGGAGAGAATGTCCCTCCTGTTCTCCCTCTTGACTTAATCTCCTGTATGGTTGCAGAGTCTGCCCAGTAGGAGTTGAGAGCCGGGCAGCAGATAGCCGGGGGTGGGTGCAGTGGAGAATTAAATGAGGCTTTGTACTTGAAATGGGGTCTTTAGTAGAGAGCTGGACCTTTGTTTTGGGGGCAAAATAAAAGTGAGTCTGCAAGTGATGCCGAGGTCTAGAGAATGGAGTGTGTGCCTGGGACTTCAGGGACTTTAGGCTCCCTTTCTGGCGGCCTGGCTAAGCCGTCAGGGAAATGCAGCACTGGAAAGTTTTAAACAACAGCAAGAGTGTTGATTCTGGTGGTGGGTAGCTCTGATGGGTTTGCTTCCTGCCCAGCTTGACATACCCGGCTGTCCAACCTCTGGGTCTCCTTTCGTACTCACAAAACGGGCAAAATGATATTCACTGTTGGTGGAGGCTGCAAAGGTGGTGTAACAATGAGCCATCCTGAATAAACATTTCCTTCTCACAATTCTAGAAGCCAGAAAACCCCAGATTTGGAAGTTTGGCAAACTCAGTGTCTCAAGGTTTACTTTTCAGTTCACAGGCAGCTTCTTGTTATTGTGTTACTACCTTCCATAGTGGGAGGAGCAAAGGATCTTTCTCTGGCTTATTTATTCATTCTTGTATTTTGTGTATGTGTTTTTGAGAAAGGCTTGCTGAGTTGCCCGGAATGTTCTTTTAATTGCTGGACTAAAGAAGTCCTTCTGCTTTGGCCTTCCAGGTATACTGGGCATGTGCCATTATGCTTGGCTTGTTCCGGTTCCTTTATACTGACAATAAACTTCACTTATGAGGGCTCTGCCCTCATGGCCTAATTTCCTAAAGGCCACATGTCCCAATACATCTATTGGCAGGCGGGGCAGACATTCAGACCATAGCAAGGAGCACATAGTGTGTGCCTTCATGGGCTGTCTCCATAGCAGGACTTACCTCATTGGGTTGCTACACACACCTCAGATGAGATCAGGGATGCATGGGTGGCTTGTAAATGACAAAGATCTTTGCAATATAAGGTTGTTTTACTTCTTCTCTTGGCCTTATGATCCTAAATCTTACATGCATTGTGTGATTCAAACTCAGGTCCCCATGCTTGTACAGCAAGCCCCATATCTCCCTAGTGGCAACATTTGAACGCTATAGCCAAAGCTTATTCCAAAGAACTTTTAACCAGAAAGGTAATATAAAGCAGGGGTATTTTGCTTAATAACAGTCGTGAGTGTTCCATTAAGACCTGGATGTACCAGAGGGACAGTTGATAGCCTAATGTGTCTGTAGGATGTAACACAGCCTTTGGTCTGTGGGAGGGGAGAACTTTGAATTGATAATAGGGAATGTGCTGAGGTGTCCTACAGTCTTTCTCTTAGAGGGTGTTGTGTTCTACATGCTGGGGTGTTTGTCTGCAGAGAGGTATTTTCTGTTGGCATGAAGAATTGCCTGCACTATTGTTTCTGTCAGCCCCAGAATAAAAATACTTTGGTTATAAAATAACAATGGCTTCCACTGGATCAGTGAGTCTGTCTGCCTTAACCTCCCAAGCAGTGAAGATCCAGAGGCCTGTGCCACCAAGTTCAGCTTCTGTGCGGAGGCCTTCCTTTGTCTTCCTGCCAACCTTCAACCGAGCAGTAGGGCGTTTTGGAACTTGTGACTTCATTCCAAGACTTGATCCTTATCGGAAGGGCATTGTGGGAGGCTGTTGGGTGGGTGTCCAGCACAGGTGGAAGGAAGAAATATTTTGCTAATCACCCAACCTGCTTGTTACTGTTTAGTTGGATCTGTGGGTCTGGTTATTTTCTGGAGACAGGTCCTCTAGAAACTGTAGACTGTCTAGTCTTGGTGAAGAAACAAGTCAGGGTGTGGCAGTGACCAGCCCTGTGTTGGTCACTGTGCCATGTTCTGTTTGAGAGGTCTAGCCTGGGAACTCAAGCTGGGTTTATTCCTTGTGGGCTTCCTTGTGCTGGCTGTGGGGGCATTTGGACTTTCTCTTAGATGATTAGATGTTGGGTTGCTTTAAGAAGAGGGGGGCAGGTGGGTAGTGGTGTTGAAGCTGTGTTAATCTAGGGCTAAGCTGACCTTAGTTTCTCACCTGTGCCTCTGAGCCGTAGAGCTCTACACACACCTGTGGTTCCCAGCAAGCCTTTTACATCTCATTCCAATGTAGTGACTGGAAGGTTGTGGACATGGTGGGATGCTGATGTGATGGTACAGAGGTCTGCCCCATCTTGCTGACAGTCACACGAGCAACAACTTTGTCTCTCACATTTCCTAATGTTTTCAATACTCTCTCTGGGCTGGGCGGTGGTGGCGCACACCTTTAATCCCATCACCCAGGAGGAAGGACAGCCTGGTCTAGAGTTCCTTCCCCCTTACCCTCTGAATGGGTCATGTGACCCCTGAAGGGGCCACACCCCATAGTTGAGAACCTCTGCTCTGAGGATGTATCGGTTGGTCGAGTGCTTGCCTAGCATGTAGGAAGCCCTAAATTGGGTCCCCAGAATATGGCAGCCTGTGCATGTAATTCCAGCACTAGGGAGTTGGAGACAGAGGATCAGGAAGTTCAAAAGTCATCTTTGGCTACATAGCAAGTTTGAGCCCAACCTGAGCTACATCAAATCCTGTCTCAAAAAGAAAAGAAAATCATATGAAGAATATTAGAGTAGACAAAATGCCTGCATTTCCTTTTCTTT